CATTCTAGAGACCTTGACAGGCTCCATAAACTTCAGCAAGGGAAGGGCTGAGAAGGGTGGCTGAACACCAAGGCCCCGTTTTCAAACAACGTCCATCTCTAGAGATCAGAGAGGAGGCTGTGAGTAAGATCTTCACTAAAGTAAAACTGAGGGCAAAAACCCCAAAGGCTGAAATAACAGACCTGGGGCCACTTTGCTCTGAAGGTATCTTTCTACCTAAATTTAATAGGCCACCGGTAAAATTACACATTCTCACAGCTTACAACACAAACTCTAAAGTCTCTTCCTCTCCTTGGGCCTCAGTTTCCTCATGTGCAAACTGAATGAGCTGGTCTCAACAGCCTCTGAGGCCCCTTCCTGCTCTAAAACATTTTATGATTTTATGAATTACAGCATCACTTTTCTCACATACCATTTTCACTTGATGTTTTATGAGTAAAATGCTGTTTAAATAACATGTCCCAGCACATGATTGATTGCCTGTGTGACTGAGAGAAAGAACTCATGGCATTTGGAAGAGCCGATGTCCTGGCCATGGCCCATCACAGGCAACACCAACACAACCCCAGGATCAGATCAGATTCATATGGCTATAGTCAAGATGTTCCCCATAAAAATGAAGGGACACTCCAAGAAACTGTTCCTTTCCCTCAGTTGGCCCAATTTAAGTCGGAAATGAAAGAATGGTAATAGTTTACACATGAAACCAATCTGCATCTAAATATATTAAGGGTCCCAGATTTGGAAATTCAAGGGAGCTCAGTCATCTAGTTCACCACCTTCATTTTACACATAAGGAAACTGAGCCCCTTGGCCAGCCAAGGCCAGAGGCCTAAGCAGCCTTGGTCAAGTTCTCTAACTCCAAATCCAGGGCTCTTTCCACTGAGCCCCAGATTCGTACTCCTCAGGTCAACTGAGTCCAGTGGGAAGTGCAATCCATGACCCACACGTCAGATGTCCTATGTCCTCAAGTTCAACGGCAGGATTTGGGAAAACCATTAACCCTCCCTGCCCCCAACTGTCCCTCTGGAGAGCACAGTAAAGCCCTTTTTACACTCTGACTAAGCTCATCTGTATCTGAAAGGGCCAGGAAGGGAGCTGAGCCACAGCACAATTACACTGACGGTTTTGCCTCATTCTATAAGCTTCCTTACCTAGGCGTCCAGTTGGGAGAACAGCCAACAAGCATCTATTACAGCTTACCACATACCAGGCATTGTGCTGAGCCAAATACAACAAAAGGCAGACAGATGGTCCTTGCCCTCATGGAGCTTACATTCTAATGGGAATTAAAGGGCAAAGGAAGGGACCACCATGCAAGGGCATGGTAGAGCATGTTCAAAATGGAGTCAGGAGAGGAATGAAGCCATAGCTGGCCTGGGCATTTTTCTTGTAGCGGAGGTCCTGGAAGGAAGCAGCCAACTGGGGAAGGGGTCTTGGGGGGCAAAGTATACTTCCAGTGTGAGAAGTTCAGGACTAGAGTGAACTTGCAGGGTGAGGAGGTTTCTCTGGCAGGGTAGAGAAAGTCCAAAGAGTTAGAAGTGTAGTCTAGAGAGGAAAGAGACAACCCAAGGCTCCTCTGGGAGCTTTCCTTAAAATGGAGATTCTTAGACAAACTGACCTATCAGAGAAAGGGGAAACAGGGGCATGAATGTACTTCCAGAACAGAAGAGACTTAGCTCAAAAACTAGAGAAACTGAAACTCCTGGGTTGTTTGGTAGTTATTAAGCAAATAACCATTATCTGACTTGTAGTATAGCACTCAAAGACTGAAATTTGATCAGTGTGTGCTAGAGTAAGGACTCAGATAGAGGGAAGACCAATCCAAGGGCAGACTCTGTTCTTTCTTCTAAGGCACTTGGCCCCTGGGTGGCTGAGAATGTCCTGCAGAGGAGACGGGAGAACACGGACTCAAGCTCCAGGGGAACAAGGAGATTTCTTGAGGATCTTGGGACAAAGATTTCCTGCTTTTTCTAAAAGGCCCATGTAAAGATTTTACACCAGGAAAGGCCAGTAGTACCCTATCTCCCCCATCTCCTCAGAGGAACGGAAAACCATAGGTTTCAACTCAGTTAGAAGCTGGAGGACAAAGCTGGGAGGCATTTAGCACACACTACGCGTGCAATACAATACGACCAGGCCAAACAGCATATAGCAGAGACAAGTGGGGAACAGCATAACGACATTAATAGACAATCTCAGCAGTCATGTAGGAGAAGGGTGAGCTGCCCCTCAATGTCCATGTCTTGGGCACTGGCGATCCCTACATGTATGACCCTCTATGTATGTGTCCTGTCTATATATTCCACACATGTTCTGAGCGTAAATCCATTCCTCACATGGGTGTTACGTGTGTTGGTGGGAAAGGGCATCCCAGATTTATGGGTAGATATTTTGTTGCTACATTTCTTACCATGCTATTTCATCAAATGCCTTTTTATTTTTTAGCTTTGTCTTCTAGCTGATTATTAAAGGTAACCACATTACCACATTGGTGGGGGCTCATGGGTTTTAGGAGATATGGATCTACAGAGTACCTTGAACCTGGGATAGCTGTTACTAGAGGACTTGCCCTCTGAATTAAGGAAAGTGCCCCCAGGTACTACACATGTAAAATCTACATTGTATATGTGTATCCATATGTGTGTGTGTGTGTGTGTATGTGTGTGTGTGTGTGTGTGTGTGTGTGTGTGTGTGTGTGTGTTGAAGCAAATGGGGCAGCCTCCCTACGGTTATCAAGAGCCACAAAAGGGATAAATCAAAGGGAAATACCGGACCAGATGAGAAAAGAAGCCACTGCGCTCTGAGAAGCCCCTTCTGTCTTCCCAACTCCTCATTCCTAAAGGAACTCTCCCCTCTGCTTCACAAGCACTCTCCCTCCTAGGAACACCCAGGCATAAGAAGAAAAGACCATACTCTATGATGGCAGTAGGGGTCTCCTCCGCCCAGACTCTCCCTCCCCACAATGACGCTAAGCTCCCCTTAACCACCGCTCACCAGCTTCCAGGCCAGGGCTTGAGCTCCAGGGGAAGTCCTTCACAAACAGGGCACCAAGATGCTTTCCCAAAGGGCCACATCCTGTGCTGGCCGGGCTGCCAGCTGCCCCTTGGCTGGGCTGAGCAAGAGGAGGCTGCCCCCACTCTCTTTCCTTCTTTCCTTGTTCCAAGACCGCTATTCTCATTCCGCCCAGCCCCACCCCCCAAAAGCTGTCCCCTTAAACCCTAGTGTTCCAAACACTAGGCTCTGAAGCCCACCAGCTTGGTCTTCAAGTGAACCTGGCTCCAGTACTTCATGACCCCAAGGGCTCCATGGATTAAGATGCTCTTTTCCTAGGAAGCCTCTCGGTACAGACTGAGAAATGTACTTTTAGATGATCTAAGTGAAGAGAGCAGTGTTTATCAGACCTTTTTCCTGGCTGACTACACATGCCACAAAGTTTTGGAGCACAGAGGTCCTATATATAAAGTTAGCAGAACTGACAATCACACCAATGCTCTGGAGCCAAGCACTCACAACAATGAACTGCTTATTCATTCGACATTGGTGCTTTTCTATTATTTAATTGCTCTTATAGCCAAAGCGAAGGGGAAGCCAGCCTTGGAGTCAGGAAGCCCCAGCGCTGGGTCCTGCCTCTGACCCAGACTGACTGCATGACCCTGGAAGAGTCACTTAGCTCACAGAGGACAAGTTACTGTGCTCCAGGTGCTGATCCTCACTGGTAAAAGGAGCTTCCTCATTTGGAGTTCTCTGTACCAAAGAAATCACAGATTTAGACTCCCCCCCCCGCCAAAGTTGTCTATTGTCTACTATTTTTCTTTGCAAGTGTGGAGCGCTTAACGAAAGGAATGAATGCATTTCGCTGCGTGGGCTAGCCTGGGCACCTAGCCTGAGGACAGCACATTTGCCGGGGGAAGGCAGCTCCTAGTTACACACATCGATCTTGTAGAAACAGTCCCTTTTGCCACCTGCTACTGAGGAGCTGCCGCATGTGTGTTTAAAAACAAAAGGGATGGGGCGGGCAGATGCCAATGTCTAAGCTATACTCACAGGCAGTAGGGCCAACTCATTTCTCAATTCTTTTACATTTTCATTTTTGTTCCAAGAGAAAGCAGAGTGGAGACAGGGAGAATCAGCAGAGGAATCCTTCATAGGTTAAGAGAGAAGAGACCCCTTGAGTCACCCCCTCATTTTAGGACTGAGGACATGGAAGCCCAGCAAAGTGAAGTCACCTGTCCAACGTTGTAAGTGTCAGATCCAGGGGACGTGCAAGCCGGGGGCATGGGTGGGAAGAGGAAGGCCATGCTGTCCCCAAACCAGGGCCCTGCTTCATTGGCGGGGGGGGGTCTAACTGCCATGGGAAAGAGACAAAGCCCCCACCAGGGTCTGCATTTACGCCACAAAACTTGACCAGTCTCATTCTTGGACATCCCTGAATGCTACGGGAGTGACCAGGGAGTGCTAAGAAGGACCAGGCCAAGCCTAAAGGCAGGAGGAGCCCCTCTGCTCTGGGACCCCTAGCCACCCAGGGCCATGCGGGCCAGGTGCTGACGTCGGCGCCTGCATTTCAGCCCATGGCACTGGGCTCAGCATCTCTGCCCTCGCTGACTTTGATGCCTGGGATCCAGGAGAGCCACAGAAGAGCCTCATCTGGGTTCCATTAGCTGGTATATTATTCTATTTATGTTCATGAAATAAGGTATCTTGCATTTACATTTAGTAAAACTTTACCTTAGTTTGATTCTCTAATCCACTTTTTATTGGTTAGAAGAAAAACAAAACATATCATGTATTCAAAAGCAAGGGGAAAAAAGACATACCATTCTAAAAATGTCCAGCAAGCAAATACCTCTAGAACATTCATCCAAGTAGTTAAGCTGGGATAGCTGCAGGAAAATGCGGGAGAAATTCTCTCGGCTCTCCTTGCTCTCACGTGAAATTGAAGCTCCAGATCTAACTCCGGGCAGATTCCTTTCCTCCAGGGACGGTCGCGTCTGTCTTACCTGGCATGACGATGGTCTGCTGAGCCGCGGCGTCGGTGCTGAGGCAGAGGCGGCCCCCTTTGGCGAGGCGGTCGCAGAGAAGGGTGATGTGCTTCTTCAGACGGCTTGTGTCCCTGGGGATGGTCAGCTGGCTGGTGAGGTTCAGGGCCTGCTCCTTGGAGCTCTTGGACAGGCAAGTCTTCAACAGGTGGGCCACAGCAGCATCCACCGTTTCCTCCCAGCCCTGAGGAGAGGAGTCAGGCGGCAATGGAAGTCAATGGGAACACGCTCACATGTGGGAACTGGGGGAGTTTCTACATGACTCCTAACAAAAAGAACAGGAGAAAGGTCCCTCCTAGTGTGTCAGGAAGGTTCTCTGGGTGGGATGCGTGGGATGGCAAGGACGGGGATTATGCAAGATGACAAGGTCTGGATGGGTCATGGCAGAAGGAACAGTCACCCAGGGGAAATTCCCTGAAGAATCCCAAGGGAAAATGTCAAACTTTCTACCATATTCACTCACCATTGGTGGCAGCAAGGGAACTAATTGTCTGCCGCAAACTAGAACGGGGCATTAAATAAAAGTATTTCACTTAGTCCTCCCCCAATACTTGAAAAGCTTACCCCAAGGGATCAAAAACTAGAAAAATAATGGCACATCAATTGTTTGCTGTTGTTGTTACCGTTCAGTCGTCTCAGTCGTGTCTGACTCTTTGTGACCCCATTTGGGTTTTTCTTAACAAAGATAATGGAGTAGTTGGTCATTTTCTTCTCTGGCTCATTTTACAAAGGAGGAGACTGAGGCAAAAAGGGTTAAGTGACTTGCCCAGGGTCATACAACTAATACGTATCTGAGGCCAGATTTGAACTCAGGTCTTCCTGACTCTAGGCCCTGTGCTCTACCCACTGCGCCACTTCACTGCCCATGCACAATAAAACACTCTCAAAACACTCATAACTTGGGGAAACCCACTTCAACCAGCACCAATACTAGAGGGCCTCCTGTGACATACTCGGTATTTCAAATAGACTTAGAAGTCCTTTTTTTAAGAACAAAATGCATTTTGATTACAGAATATTTGTGGAGAGCAGGTCCTCTCATTTTGCTTTTGGAGCCATTGCCAAAAACCAGTAAGTTTGGGGTAGGAAGAAACAATTATTTTTTTTAAACATATTTTTACAGTAGCCATGTTATAAAGAAGAATTAAAACCAATGGGAGGAACCACAAGAAAAAAGAAACAAAACGAGAGCAAATAGTATGCTTCGATCTGCATTCAGACTCCGGAGTTCTTTCTCTGGATGTGGACAGCACCCTCCATCATGAGTCTTTTGGAATTGACTTAGGTCACTGTATTGCTGAGAAGAGTTAAGTCTATCAATGTGAGTCATCACACATTATGGCTGTTACTGTGTACAACGTTCTCCTGGTCCTGCTCACTTTACTCAGCATCAGTCCATACAACTCTTTCCAGGTTTTTCTGAGGTCTGCCTGCTCATCATTTCTTATAGCATAATAGTATTCCATTACATTCATACGCTACAACTTGTTCAGTCATTCCCCAACTGATGGGCATCCCCTTAGTTTCCAATTCTGAGAAAGAATTTTTTTTTGTTCTAATTTAGAGACAGTAAGGTAGAACAGCAGATAGACTGCTGAGCTGGAGTCAGAAAGGCCTGAGTTCAAATAAGGCCTAAGACACTTGTAACTTGCTTAATCCTAGGCAAGTTACTTACCCTCTGTTTGCGTCAGTTTCCCCAACCTCCTAGAATTGTTGTGAGGATCAAATGAGATAATGTTAGAGATGTAAATGTTCATATTCTCTAAATCTTTGCATTATGCAATACTGGCAGCCAGATGAGGGAAGTGTATATGTCATAATTTGGGTTATTACAAAGGGTACTTTCCCTTTTTTACAACCAATGTGCAGCTCTAATCAAATCCTCCATCCACCCTGTTTCAATATTTGGTTGAATATTTCTTTCTTTTGTTTTGTTTTTGTTTTTGTTTTCTTTTGCTTTTTGCTAGGCAATGGGGTTAAGTGACTTGCCCAGGGTCACACAGCTAGTAAGTGTCAAGCATCTGAGGCCACACTTGAACTCAGGTTCTCCCGACTCCAGGGCTGATGCTCTATCCACTGCACCACCTAGCTGCCCCCTGAATATTTCTTTAACATAATGAGCCTCAGATCTAATACTTCTGGTACATAGGGTGATTATTAACAGGACCCAAATCATGATATAAATGTGCGTGTGATAAAACAAATGAAAGTCATCACAAAATGGTGACAATTTTGAGGGTAAACTTTCGGGAAACAAACCGTCATTCCATGGTGAAGAAGCACCACGTGGGGGCCCATATTCACACAAGGGTTTGTCTGGGTCCATCAAACACCCTCCCCCTAAAAAACCATTTATTTTTGTCCATTATGTTGCTAAATCGTTGACTTAGATTCACTGCTTAAATGAATATATTCTTTTGCTTTCTTTGACTGACCAAGAGAATTGCTGCATGACGGGAGGGGAGAGGGGAAAGCAAGAGATACCCAATAACTCTTCATCGGATTTCTGAAGTCTTTTTGATCTTCAAAAAGCCACAACCTAGCTATTCAATTCTGTATTAACATTACACACGGTATTTAGAGCTGGACGTGACCTTAAAGACCATGTAGGCCAATGCCTCCATTATACTAAAGAGGAAGGGGAGGCCTAGAAAGGTGCCCAAAGTCATGAAGAATAACAAAATGGAGAGACAAGATTCAAACCCAAGCCCTCTGACTCCTAATCCAACGGTCTTTCCAATTTCTCCAAACAGCCAAGTAATATGAAGATGGCAGCCACAATGAAATACTTGGAATTTTGATCCAAGTATTAGAACTCTCTATAAAATGTATGTTTGCCTTAGTTTCTCCATCTCTAAAATGGAAACAATAATCCCTACTTCACGGGGTTGCTCTGAGATTAAATGAGGTCGTGTCTGTAAAGTGCTCTGTACCCCTGAAAGCGCTATATGTCTACTGTTGTTGTTATTTGCTCCTGTGGTCCTTCCAGGGCATTTCTGGAAGAAAAGAGAAAATGGCAGATAATATATAAAAATTTACTGGGGAGAACTCTCTGAGATCTTGGATATCTTTAGTCATTTCCATACTTTGGCCATCTCCATGGCTCAAGACAGGTTCTGGAATGCTCATCTACTTAGAATTGGTCAGCCCTCGCACAAGGCTCAGTAAAATGTGGGTCAGTGAGCATGTACCCATTGGAAGTCAAACTAGCTTGCTCCCACCCATTGGCTTCCACGGTGTTGGATTTCCCTGGTTCTCTCTGACTCCTCCAGGCTCTTCCGTCTCCTATATACAAGTAATTGCTTCCCTAAAGCTCTTTTTTATTCTTTCATATATATATACACACACATATATATGTATGTATGAATGTGTATATACATATAAATATATGTGTGTATGTGTATGTGTGTATATATATACATATATTCTTTCCTATGGCAATCACAGTACTTGGGCCATCCCTTCTATTCAGGTGACACCCAGATTCCCCCAAAAAGATTTCCTTGTGGATCAGCATACAAATTTTGCTTATGATTCCCCTAAGTAACTGATGTGTTTGATGAATATGTTGTGAAGGATAAAGCCGAGTATGGCCTCCAGTTACCTAGTCAAGGCCAGTAAGACCTGAGAATTTATAAAGCTACAAAAGAGCCCTGGGGGTCAAAGAGAAAGAAAAGGACATACAGGAGAGATGAGGTAGAGGCAGAAACAGAATATGACCCATTATTGAATGGTTACGGGAGAAAGTAAGAGTTAGGAGTCAAGGACAACAATTAAGGTTATGAACCTGAGGGATGGATGCCCTCAAAAGTAACAGGGATGTTTGGAAGAGGGTGAGTTTAGAGGAAAAAACAGTTATGGTTTAGACATAAAAAGTTTGGGATGCTCACAGACATACAATTGGAAATGTCCAATCAACAGCTGGTGATGAGGGACTAGAGTTCAGGAGTGAAGTTAAGGCTAGATCTACTGATCTGCAAGCCACTCACATAATCATGACAACTAGACCCATGGAAACTGATGAAGTCACTGAGAAAGCATATAGGGAGAAGACAAGAAGAGCTAGGACAGAACCTTGGGGTTCTACCCCAGAGGTAATAGATAAAATACAGAAATGATGGTCCAGCAAAGGACATGAGGAGTGGTCAGATGGACAGGAAGGAAACCAAGAGAAAGCAGAGCCCTGACATTCTGGAGGAGGCACTATGTAGGGAGAGATGATAGTCAGTGCTATCTAATGCTGCACATGGTTCAAGAAGGATGGGATATGAGAAAAGGCCATCCGATCTGGTGATTGTGAGAGCATTCACACCTTCGGAGAAAGCAGTTTCTGTTGAGTGATGAGACTGGATGCAAAGGGTTTGGAAGAAAGTGAAGGGAGAAGTGAAGTCTCCAAAACTGGCTTTTAGAGAAAGGGAAGAAAGATATGGTACAAGGGCTTGCTGTGCTTGTGGAGGTCCAGTGAAAATATTGGGCATGTTTGCAGGCAGCAAGAAAAGAAGCGGTGGACCGGGTAGGAAGTCAGGATTACAGAGCGAACTGAGCTGGGGAAAGCGGGCAGAAATCGAGGCATCCTTGATCCGTGACCCAAGCAGCTGACTTCGGCAAGAAACACCTCTCTGTCAGGGCATGGAGTGAAAAAAGAGGAGACCACGGGAGAGCCACTCTCCATCTGAAGCTTGCTTGGTTCCAACTCCTCAGAACAAGATGTCCCCAGGCCAGGTACCCCTGGGGTCTCCCCCCCTTTCTAGCTTCCTTTGGTGTACTGTCTTCCCCCATTAAATGGTAAGCTCCTTGAGGGCAGGGACTTCCTTATGTGTCTTATATGTATTCCCAGGGTTTAGCACAGTGCCTGGCACATGGTTGGTGCTTAATAAATGTTTAAGTGAAGAAATGAACTGAGACAATATCAAGGGGTTTTGAGACGCTGAGAAGATGAAAAGAGGGGGTTCACAATTATCTGCTCTGATTTTCCTGATGACTTTAAGACTACTGTAAACATAACTGCACCAACCCTGTCCTGTCTTGTGAAACAGGTATTATTATCATCCCTAAATATATTCTTACATTCTCATATTCTCTCTCTCTCTCTCTCTCTCTCTCTCTCTCTTCCTCTGTCCCTGTCCTCTCTCTCTGTCTCTCCCCTTCTGTCTCTCATTTCTCCTCTCTGTCTCTTTCTTTCTC